GAGAGAGAGAGAGAGAGAGAGAGAGAGAGAGAGAGAGAGAGAGAGAGTGAGAGAGAGAGAGAGGAAAAAAAGCCACCGCATGCATTCAAATTGTTGTTTATACGTATTTCTTTTTCTTATTTGTTTTGTTTTGCAGATTGAGGAGTCTCCATGGATTTGCTGGTGTTGCGACATTTCAACAAACAAATTGTCGTTGAAATACGTGAAAAATGAAACAACAGTCAAATGCCGAAAGTAGAGACGATGAGTTAGATTACATGAAATGTCGTAAGCGTGTGTACCGTGACGAAAACAACGTCGACAAATCAAGTTATGTGCAAAAGAAACGGCTTCAAAATATTAGTAATAATCAACGGTTTAGTGTAGGCAATGGTCGATACGACCAGGACGATGAAACGTTGATCCGTGAAACGCAGGCGGCGCTGAAAAGTTTATCGGGAAGTTGGAGTGAAACAAACAATTCGCACAGAACGCTTACGGAAGAAAGTTCAGTGTATCCAAATTTATTTGACGAGAGAAATGGAACTAAAATAATAATGTCTCCGATAACAACAACACCGTACAGTTCAAATGATTCATTGTCAAATCGTGATTATTATTGCTTAAATGGTAAACCAAAATCGGTTGCACATTCAAAAAAGCCACGATTGAGTGAGGGTAAATTTGATTTCAGTGAGCTAGTCGGCGGTGATCCAATTGACAAACTTCAATCGACTAGTGATAAAGGTGAATACGAAAATAGTGGTGAATATCGAAGTGTTCAGACGTATTCACAAAATTCAGCATTCCATCCGCCGTCATCGTCATCGTCGTCGTCGATGTTCGAAAGCAAGAAATCGAATTCTTTTGGTTCAATGTCCCATTCTGCTTATCATTATGCCGAGTCAAGCGGTTACTCAACGTATTCATCGCTCGATATGAATGCATCGTCAAATAGTTCACCTGAGCGTGAGCGACCGTTTGGAAAACCATTTGCCAAAGACGATGACATGAGTGCGGCCGATTACAAAGAGTACACAACACTTCAACCGGCTGGTATTGGATCAAAGGCTGCATCGGTTATTCAGGACGTGTCACGTGAAGGTGGCGTTGCCTCGGTGGTTGTCATGAATAGCATGAGTAATGCAAGTGTACAAAACACCACATCGACAACAACAATAACAACAGCCGCCGCCACTGCCGCAGCAGCCGTGTCGAACGAACATCGAGCTGGCTTTCTTGAACGTCCAATGGCTGCCTTCTCACCGGGTAGCAACAACAAAGGTAATGCAAACTACGTTTACATAAAATAAATGCCTTTTGCATGTTTAATCGATTCGATTACGTTGTGTGCATGTGCAATTAGTCGAAATAGAACGAAATCTAATTGCTTTTTGGCCAACGTTTTGGGGTTCAACACTCAAACTCTCGACTCCTTGAAAACGCAAAACTTTAAAATCACATTCACTCCCGTGTGTGTGTGTGAATTCTTTTTTCATTGCTCTATAATCGTCGGTATGTGTGACTTGCATGTTCAGACAGTCAAGTCAAAGCTCGATCTCAGTCCACAACCTACCGCAAAACAGCTATCTTTACGTGTGGCTCAAGGAATTACAAGATCTAGACGAATTTCCAGTGGATTACATTTTATTTTTATGCCATTATTATGTTAGTTACTATCGACATCTTTGCCATTTTACACACAACCAAACACACATGAACACAATGTGTATCGCACAGACAACCTGTGATCCATCGGAGACGCGTGATATCACCTTCGTTCATTCATTGTATTATCATATGGTTTCAATGTGCTTCGCGTTTTGCGATGTCGCGTTTCGCCCTTTAAATTAAACCCATTAAAATGATAGAACTGCTTTTATGATTTCATTTCAAGAAATTCAAACTGCTATAAACATTTATGGTCATTACATTGCTGCTGTGCTGCCTTTGCTCTCGCAACCATTATCTACGTTACAACAGACAAAAAGTCACATTTTCCCCGTCTATTCTATCCGAAGCTAGTCTATTCTTCGTTGAGCGTTTTCATGAAAAGAGATAACTTGGCTGTTTTGATTTTGTGAATTTCAACGCTTCTAATGAATGTGAGCGCTGAAAAGCACGTGCATTAGATTCAGCCAGCATTGCAAACGAAAATACAAAACACAACAGCCAATTTGGTGTCAGTGCACCCCCAAAAAAAAACGAGAGAACGTTACGATAGTGACGACAATGGAAACAATTCGCATAACAACCCGTTTTCGACACACAAGTAACGAACTTACGAAAGCGAATTTCACACAATAACGCGCGCATACTGAATGCTTCAATGCCCGTGATTCTTCCCTCGAATCCGAATGGCAAACGCATCCAAATGTGATTGTACGTTACTGCTGCGGTGAATAATAACACGAAAAACCATTTGAAACGTCATTTTTCATCCATTTCGCAACAGATCGTTTATCAAAACCGCACACACCACTATCTTTTTGCAAGTGGCTCTTTTGAACGATGCCAAATTAACTACAAAATAAATTCAACCAGTTTTGTGTGCATACTGTGTGTATAATTTTTGATGTCGTTCTATATCTACATTTGAAATGTGTTTCAAGCCAGCCAGCCAGCCAGTGAAATCGAAATTTCTTCGGTTACTACTGTATGTTCGATGATTCAGGCTTATGAAGCGTGTATCTTGCAATGGACGATATTTTAACACGACTGTTTGTTGAAATGCCGTTGCAACTAAGGCGAAAATTCAACTCTGATGGGACAACAAGAAATACTACGTTTCATGCAAAAAAAAAAACGTTTCATTCCAAGTAATATTCCATTTTGAGCTAAATCCAAAGTTTCTCTGGCTTGAAACCATCGCACAGTCATTTGGCGTGAAATGTTTATCGTATGCGAAAAATGTGCAGGTTGAACGCATTACCATAGTTCACGGTTTTCAGGTAGACCAACGTCATTTCGATACAATATCCAACATTCAAATGCAACTATTTTACAAAGCCAGGTAGATTTGGTTGAGTTCTTGGAATGGATGCGATTTTGTAAATAGTTTCTCATCGTATTAAATTGTATTCTGGCACACGAATGGCAACACATTCAAATGCGATGTGAATTACAGAGGAATCACAATGCAAAATTGAGTTTAGTTGAGCTGAGTGGCGTTGGCAAGTGTCGAAATTCATTATTTCCATTTTTCGAACATTTTCCAATGAAATTCGTTTCAATTGTGGAAATATTTTCGAAAAGTTTACAAAACCATTTGAAATTCTTTTGTTGGACACTCGTGATGTCATATTCTCTTGAAAGTGGTTTCTCTTTTGTGATCTGAGATATTCATATAAATTTAGTAATTTCGCACGATGAAATTGAATATTTTTTGCATAGATGGTGGAAAGTGTCCAATTCCACAGTGCACCGGGCAAGGCCACATCACCGGACTGTATACACATCACAGAAGGTAAATTTACGATCAAACTCCTTTTCTTATTTCAGAATACGTTCTGGATATTATTTTTTTTGAATTTTGATCATTTTTATTTCAGCCTATCAGGATGTCCGCAACGCGATAAAATTACTCCAGAAAGTAAGTGAATTTGAGTTGTGTCTCCAAATAAAATTCAATTATTTCGTTATTAATTGAGATAGATTTAGATTGAGCATTTTATTTTCGATGAGGTCGTTTGAATAAGCACATTCACATATATCTTTCTAATGTCGGGATCAATGTTGACCACACAAATCGTATCAGTAATCAGTATTCTATCCATTCATGTATGCAATCACAATCTTTCACCGTTGTAGCCATTAGAAACTCTGCACCGATCATTAATAACATAACACATTTCACTTTGATATCATGTTTTGCTTGGTTGTCATTAAAATTCTTTGTTCAGGGGTTTGCGGAGGTTTTATGTTAGCGATTAGGTAAGCAATAAGCACTCTTTTCATTATTTAGTTAGCAACTATTATTTGTTTGATTTGGTTTCCATTGTTCCTTCACCTCACCATAGTATGTATGTATGTGCATTAATTTGTGTTGATTGTTCTGTGTGATTCAAGGAAATTCTTCTCATTGTTTTTACCCATATCATAAATTCGTGTATTTTCAATATAATTTTGGCATTTTAATATGCTTTTGATTGGTGTAACTAATCAAAATCAAGTAGATGACTTTCCCTCACGTATCTCCTCGCTCATCGAATACACACGATTCGTTTGCTTTGTTTGTGGTTATTGTGATTTGATTATTTTTATTACAATATTTGCTTTCACTAGTGCTCATTTATCACGACAATAACGATTAAGTAGCGTCCCCATTCTCGTTTACCCTGACATTCATTCGGTTCCCAAAATCGAATAAACAATGTCAAGCACACACACACACACACATACGTTTTATTTGCCCGTGATTTTTATTTCGTGTTCCGTTGTCAATCGTTCCGCATTTTGACTGACGAACAAAAAATAATATTAATTTCACATTCGTTTCTTCCGTATACTTGAATATTGAGTGTATTCAGAAAGATACAATTATGACTCTTATCTCAAACCCTCTTCTTTGATTGGCCGTACTGTTTGTTTTACTTTTCACCTTGAAATTGAAATTTAAAAATAAATCCTATAATCGTTTCATTAATCGGTGCATTTTGATAAAATCCTAATTTGATGTGGTGTCATGTGTTATATACAAAAGCTATATTTTGCTCTAAAAATGTACGTTACTCTCTACACTTTCCTCTGAATACAATTAACACTCAATATTTATAAACTAAAACAAATGCAAACTGAAAATGAATTAATATTATTTTTTCGATTTTCCGTGTTTTGTTTCATTTCATTCATAAAATAAACAAAACTCCCACCTCCATCCCATCACAACCATTCGAAACCAAAATAAAATCAAAATGTTAAAGTATTAGCAACGCATGAAATAATTTTGAAGTGTCCGACCGCTGGATGCAACGGAAGTGGTCATGTGAATTCAAAACGAAGTTCGCATCGTAGTTTGTCGGGTTGTCCTCATGCGGCGTTTAAAAAGGCCGCAATACGCGAAGCAAAATATCAAAATGGCTATACCATTCGACATCCCATGCTAGTGGGATCAGGTTTGTATGAAACATTGACCCACAAAAAAAAAACAAGATCTCTGCAGTGCAACAAAAAAGTTTCCCAGTGAAAATTGTGCGCAATACTAATTTGACGTTTTTTTTTTTTCGCTTCACAGTGACAAATTACAGTTCAAACGACTTCAAAAGTTCATCGACAATGTTTACAGCAAAATCCAGCCACCTCAGCCATGGCAGCAGTACTTTGCATACGGCCAATATTTACAATGATAAAGTAACGATGGCAAAATCGGCTGAAAGTGACGAGTCGAAATCTATAAACAACAGTAATTATGGCAATGACACAAACTTTTCGAATATCATGGATGGCGGTGGCAGCACTGTGAAAATGGAGCACATGATTAAAAGTGAGAAAGCGAAAAGTTTCAGTGAAAGTGGCGGCAGCAGCGGTAGTAAAAGTGAGTGTGTCGATAGTGTGTCGAATCAACGAGCTGACAATAACAACAGTTCGATAAATCAAATGAATTTGGACCCCGCATCGCATCAGTCCTCCGGCTGTTATCCGAGCACAATGGATGCGACATCGGTTGAACAGTCAATGAACACAGATGAGTTGTGTTATCGCAATTATTCAAATTCGAACGATATTTCGAGGCCGGCAGTGCCTTTTGCCAACGATATGATGGCAAATCGGGCGCTGGTTGCCAACTACGAATACTCAGCTGTTCGAAATTATGAAAATGCCATGAATGGCATTTCGACAGCACCAACTTTTGATCGTTACGATATGAATTTGGGCAATTTATATGCGTCATCACTGTCGATGCAACGGTCAAATCTCACATATCCACCATATTTGAACAGTTTTGGCTCGGAGGATCCAAATCAACCGAAATATCTGGCAGAGCATCACTTTTCTCAAGCTGCCATGTTGAAGAATGATACAAGTGGTGAAAATCAAGCACCTTACTACCCGAAGCCAATGTATCACTATGATCCATCTTTTCCCTTGGCTGGTTTTTCAGCAATGAATCTGAGCCTACGAACCGCTGCAGTTGCTGCTGCAAGTAACTCATTGCCCATCATGGATCTATCAGCAGCGAATGTCACTTCGTCGAGTTTGTCCGGTTGTTCAAATCCACCGCATTTCTCAGCCATTCAACGACTGCAAACCTCAAATTCGACATCAACACCGAAATCGTCGCGTACTCCAAACCCCAGCCCACAAACCAACAATTCCGAACAAACGACAGATAATGGAATGGCCATGAACAATCTAAAACTTCAATCATATCAGTTGCCCGCTGAAAATTTCGCACAAAATTCGCGATCTCCAACAAATGAGCCGGTCGATTTGTGCAATAGCCAAATAAAACCAGGCACATTTACTGCCGATAATAATTCCATGGAAACGGCACCGAATCGTCCATACAGTCGCGAATCAACATCCGACAGTAACGCTTCTCCCTACATCGACACATACAAAGGCGAACCAATGGGTAAGCTATGCATTTTTTTTGCTTTGTTAAATATACAAAACTAAAAACATTTTTGTAACAAAAGACATTTTTCAAATCATTTCTAGCAGTTTTGCCATTTTTCTTGCTGTTTTTTTTCCCTTCGTTCCATTTATAAAATGAAGCACATTTTCCACATTTCGATTGTTTTGCTGAAAGCGACAAAAAATTGCTGCATTCGTTTGCATTTATTTATGCAGTAAAAAATGCAATATTTTATGCCAAATTCTCTCTCTCTCTCTCCCTCGCTTAAACTCGGTAAAAGCTGAAGCGCACAGGAATAAATAAATGAATATCGCTGGAAGCGCATCGTAAATTATTTAAAAAACATTTTTCCCGTTTGAAAAGTTTCGTTTCAGTAAATGAAAAAAAGAAAACAATGGGAATGTGCGTCGCTTTTACATTCCATTCCGTTGCCGTTTTCATTCGGTGAAATAACAAAATGTGTGTGTTACATTTTTTCGTTCTTTTTCCTCTCGTTTAGGTTACAGTCCACATCCGAGCTATGGTATGATCACGCAAACGGACTATACAACGGGTAGTAATTACGGTAGTTATGGTTCGATAGCAGCATTTCAAAGTGGTGGTAATTCAGCGTTGGGTGGTGCAATCGCCGGCGGAACAGCAAATAGTAGCATCGCTGGTACAATGAATCCATATGGCAGTTCGGTTATTGGCTCATCAAATGGATATTCAAATGTGCTATCGATTTCAAGTGGCGGTATTCCTTCCGTAACATCATGCTATCCAATACCATCGCAACATTTGCCGACTGATAAAAACTGTACAAAAGATAGGTAAGTTGCAGCAAACAAACCAATAAATGAAATTTGCATGCGTACAACTCATAACCTGATAGAAAAATACATGAACGTATTAAAATATACTTTGAGCTGCATCAGTTAGAATTCATGCTTGTGTTTTGGTGCATAGCATTTGCTGTGCTCAATCTGGCTTTAAAACGTAATTAACGCCCCTTGTAAGTGACACTCAACGAGAATGTTGAAAAATGTTTGAACATCATGCGGTTTTTCCAGTAAATGGTCATTTACAAGCTTCGAAACAACTGCAATCAATGTCCAGCACCAGCAAATGAATGCTAACCAAAAAATCCTCAACCCGAAATTTGACTCTTTCCATAAAAAGTTGGAAGTGCAAATACTTCAGCAGAAGCCTTTGTGAAAATGAGAATTTATTGTCTCTTCTCTTGTTCATTTTGAGAAATTTGCTGCTCAAGCAAAAGATAAATTTTCGTTCAAGTTGACATTTGTTGTTTAGCCAGCTAACCATTTTTCACACATGCAATCGAAGCAGTGTCACATACATACACACACAGACACATCACCGAAACTAATTTCGAATGTGTCGTTGTTGTTGTTGTTGTTGGTTTCGAGTTTAACGGCGACAATAAAATCTATTTTGGCAAAGGTGATTCTCATTTGGCCAGAATAGTTTTCACCACGGACACGAGGCGAGCACAAGCTGTGGAGTGAGTTTCTGGTTCGATTGAAACGAATGTTAATTGGTTATATTTCGGAATAGTTTTAGCAGATTCAAGCAAAAAAGAGAATGTCAGACACTTGTCAAGTGGAGATGATTTACAATTCCAAGCGCCATGAGTACCATTGACTAAACACCATTTATTAAATGTCGGATGAGACAAAGCCAATGAGACCGAATCGAAAGACAAATACAGGCACAATCCAAACAGACATTGTGATAGTTTCACATAAATTTCAAAAGTTGTCCAATTTAGAATCTAAATTATTTATTATAAACCAATTTTTGGTTGATTTTCGAAATTAAATTCGAAACTTTTCACATTTTTCCGTATTCGGTGTGTTCACAGTGTGTGTTAATGGCACGTTGAGATAGATATCTGTGTGATCAGCAGACAAAAGTCCACTTGTGTCTCGATTGTTTCCAAACAAATAACACACACACACACATCGGTGTGATTTACAATGTGTCGCTATCGAATGTTAACATATGTAATCGATATATTCAACGCAATTTAATTGCATATTATTCATTTCGATAAGAGCTAAATGTTAACGATTTTTTTCTGCTCGTGTGCCATTTTAAAGGATAATAAGTGTTTGACACGCAATTGTTTTAGTCGTACATGTATATCTATTTATTTCACATAAAACAATATGCAGCAAAACGACGCACACGTACATATCACACGCATGAACATGAACATGAACAGACAACGATTTAATGTGTTGTAACAGTTTAAATGGGTTTTCCAAATTGTTTCTTCGATTTGCCGTACAATTTCGTGTTGTTGTTCTTGTAACGGTTTTCTTTTGAATGCGCCTTTTTACGATGTGTTAGCAGGTATATTACTAGTAATACGATTATAATATCGTGGCAGGAAGCAGAACGAGCGAGAAAAAAAAACGGTTAGGGGGCGCAACATTATTATTCCGTGCTATCGATGGCAGGGATATACGAAGAGCGTATATTACACATATGACTTGCATATGAAATAGCAATAATCGAAACATACGCGCGCACACACACACACACGGCACGATAATAATAGTAACAATTTTATTTCTTATTTATTCTTCAACGCACTTTGCACGACCTACTACTTCGGAGTATTGCATTCATCGCTTTTATGGGCTCTTTTATGACTATATCGTCAATTGACTGAACCGCTTAACGGTACAAGTAGATTTATGGAAATATCTATTTCTCAAAAGAACAATTCATTTTAAAAACAATCAACACAGCGCCATTCAAACAATTGACTTTTCAACTCCGTTTAAAGACGGATTTTGCATAGAAAATCCTTCGGATGAAAAATCAATTTTTCTACAAATCTCAAGCCGTGAAGTGGATTTTACTCACTATCATTTATTGAGATCGTATTGTAATCGAATTATTCGAATGCGTGTTTGATGCGTATTCAATACGTTTGACCGCATTTCAAATGTGATTGGTTTGAAAGGGATTTTCATTCACGCATAATAATAGTTATAATCATTATTGTCGATTCAAAAGGTTGTTGGCTATAATTAATGGAAATTCACACTAATTGTATGTAATTGAAAACGTCTTTGGCGTGTGGAGGTTTTTGTCCTATAACTCTTCCCGCAGAAGTATGAATTTTATCATTTTCTTGCAAAATCCACGTCGTAATCGATTTTGCATTTACATCTAATGAACAGAGTTACAAATTTTGCAAAAGGATCATTACCAAGCACTGGCCAAGATTTATGTGAACGACAAATTTATCGTTTTGGTCAAGACACCGAAAAAAATACATAATGACTAGTGTCGTTAAAAGAACCAATAATTTATTGACCGACAACATTCATTTGTTACTGTGATGGCATACGCATTAGACGTTGGCCGACAGCAAACACTATTTCCATATTATTTATTTGAATTTTGGTCATTATGCATTTGAAACATGAATTCGGGCGGCGACGGCGACACATTTCAATGTTGTTTTTCTGCATGTTCCGTGGGCGACACAACATTCTTGTGTTTTATGAATGAACAAACATTTTCTTGCATTTTATGTCGAAAGTGAAATGAAAATGGCAGTAAAGCATTGACTTAATCGTTTTAAAATGGTTTCATCCTTTCCAATGTTTTTCCTTCTTTAAAAAAAATAATGTTTCTACTGAATTCCATCTTTTTGTCCAGTTTATTACTGTGTGGACGTTTTGATCGAAGCCATTTGCAGCCCACGCAAGAACTCAAATGTCCCACAAGTGGATGGTAAGTAAAATCATTCGTATTTTCACTCGTCCGTTGGCGAAAAATAGCTAAAATCAAAATAAAATTTTGTTCCAGCAGTGATGGTTCTGGCCACGTAACGGGAAATTATTCATCGCATCGCAGTTTGTCCGGATGTCCACGTGCAAATAAGCCGAAAAGTAAGCCACGGGACGGCCAAGAATCGGAGCCATTAAGGTATTTAGTGGATATTTAGCTAATTATTCGTGGGATTTTAAAGTCTGAACTAATGTCATATTTGCTTACAGGTGCCCCATTCCAGGTTGGTGATGGAAAACAAATTGTCGCTATTCTTTATTTCTAAGCAAATTTAATTTAAAATTTCTGATCCATTATCGTTGAAAAAGGTTGTGATGGTTCCGGACATTCAACGGGAAAGTTCCTCTCGCATCGAAGGTTCGTACCAATTCCGTTTGAATGATAATAACACATTGAAATAATGAACAGATTGTGCTAACGAATTTTCCGCACTTCAATGAATTTTTCGGAATTACAATTCAAAACATCTAATTCAGAGATGTGCAATTTTGAAATGACATATTGTTTACGAAATGAGCGGATAACTTTGTTAATTTCAGTGCGTCAGGTTGCCCGATAGCCACGAGAAATAAGATGCGTATTTTGGAGAGTGGCGGAACAATAGAACAACATAAAGCAGCTATTGCAGCTGCAGTTGCCATGAAATATGACAGAAGCGTTTGCTCATCGGTGGTGGATGGAGACGGTCACATGACCAACACGTTTCTAGCACAAAGGTAAATTTTGAGACAGCCACCGAAAAAAAAAACCAAACCGAATTGTCTCACATTTTTGCGTTGGTTAAATGGAATTGGTGCCAGTTGTGGCGCTAAAACTTCTTTTGCCATTTCGAAAATAGATCGACAAACGGATGTCCAATGGCGATGCAGCCGAGCGTGAAAAAGGAAAAATTAGACGACGTACAAATGTGCTACTCCAAGGGATATTCGGGTAAGTGCACAAAGTGTGAAAAACACACCCAAAACAGTTGAATAAATTTTCGAAATGAGAACGAAAAACTTTTATCAAATTTCCTGTTAGATTTGCGCACAGCTATCTTCGCATCTCCCATTAACTAAAAATGAAATGCGTCTTGATGTGTTTAACGATTTTTGGAGTTAGTCGCAATTTGAGCTAAGAAAAATGGTTCCAATGTTTGTTTCTAGATGTATTTTACCCAGTTTATTCAACCAAAATTCAAAATTATTACTGCGATTCACTTGTAAATCAATCACTACTAATCAAACGATTGAAACACTGAGAACCCATGAACATTCATAAAAAATTGATGCGCATTTGTGTTTCATTTATTTAGTAATGCGCTTGCAATGTATTCAACAAGCGATTTAACCCTTTGACATTCGATTCACTAAACGGTTGCGTGTCATTTGCATTGAATTATTCAAAAACATTTCATGTTATTCAAAGTTTCGAAACATTTGAGTGTCAACAGGGTTCAAATGTGATGTTGAAAATGTTCTACCTCTTCCTACGCATATACAATTGGATACGGATTTTGAATTTCCAAACATTTCAAAAACAATAATTGGGCAATCCATCTAATGAACAATTGAATAATTGAATAGTATGTCACGATTGAAACATTGTACTATTCGATTGGATTTGAATAAAATGCTAATGTTCAATTCGAAATGATTGTATCTTCAAATTGCAAAGTTTGTGATTGTCAAATAGTCGTTGTTTCCAATCATATTTTTCTCTTGAAGCGGCATTTTCAACTCAAGTTTAAAAATAAACGTGTTGGTGCCTGTGAAATTCAAATGACAATGAATAATGGTCCGAACAAAAGTTATTTGTTTCAAGTGAAATTGCTGCATTTTTCCCCTTTGGTTTTTTTTCTTATTGTAAATGGTTTTTGTGTAATTTTACATTGAACATAACCATTAAAAGCCGAACAAAAACAACGAAGAAAACGGCAAAGAAATAGTTTTGGGAATTGATTGTGCTTCGTCTACAGTGTTTTATAGTCTCATTCTTACTTGTTCACTTCAGAAAAAATTACAAAAATTACAAAATAAACAAAAACACAATGGACTGTTGAATATCATCACTTATTCAGCTTTGCGACCCGTATGATTTATTTTTACTCATGTGAATGTAAGTGTGTTCACTGTTCATACGCCGGCGATGACAAATTTTCCAATGAGAAATTTGTTTGGCGCTGGTGCAAGTGCATACTATTTACAATTTTGAAAATTGCCATGCATTTGGTTTGCCCAAGACCATGTAGAAAATAGTTTAGCAATATCAAATGCTGCCATGGACACATACACAAGTCAGGCGAAAAATTCAAGGAGAGAAACCAACTCCATCGAATAAATTGTAGGAGATGGAGTGAAAATGCTACGCAACATACATTTGAATGGCCTGTCACAACATTTTCCAACGTCTTATGCACATGAATTTGAAATATGAACGGACAACCACGGGATAAGAAAGACCAAAGAAAATCGACTGTGAATTGTAATTTATGTGGCTCGCAACGGTCTCGCTTACGTAAGCCAAGAAATGTGAAATGTGAAAAGTGGTCGGTATGCAAGCCCAATTTTCCTCTTTTCCCAAGGCATATGTTTTGTGTGCTGTGGTCGGCAAACGAGCTTTCGTCATAGCCAGAATTGTCCATTGGTCGCCACACAGCTCATAAGCTCATTCACTCGACGAAATCAAGACGCTGTAGAATAACAAAAACAGGCATTTTAATGCGTTCATTCCGACTATAATGTTTGGCTTTGTCTCACAAGCAATTTGGCTTGCGACGAAACTTTACCCAAAAATTACGGTTTAGATGACGAAAATATTTTCTACATGAATGCCATTTAAAGTGATTATATGTTAGAATCTTAGAATGTCTGATATTAATTTGAAATTGAAAATTCCAACTTTTCGAAATGATTTTGGATTTTTTGGGCAAACATTGTTTTCTGTTGCCTTTTGTATTGTTACTTCAACACCTTGCCAAAATCTTCAAAATGGCAAGTGGTCTTATCGTCTGGCGTCGGCTGAGACAATAAAAATGGCTGTCGATGTCAACACAAACCACCATCTAATAACAATGATCAATGAACTCAGTTTGAAAGCAGGAAGTTTTGAACATTATTAAACACGACCTAAAAACATCAAAAAAAAATTTTTTTATCAACTTTCTGAGTTGGGCGCTATTAAAACGAAAGTCATTCCGGCGTTGTTGTTTTTTTGTCACTCGTTGCCGGTTCTCATTTTTCTAAATAACACCAAAGAGTAAATTCATTTTTTCCCATTTACCTTTGTTCGTCATCGTCCTTTCTTTGCCACCTCTTTCGATTAAAACAAAGTTATTGACCTTGAGAAACAGAAATAAAACTTTGTGCATCTTATTCACTGGTTAACTTTGGAAAAAGTTATATGCGCGACCGCGTGAACGCTTACAACAACAATAGAGAGAAAACTCGACTGGTTAGTTAAAAATACAAACCGACAAAAAAAAAGATTGAACCAAACTTCATGCAAACGAAGAGCAAACGGAAAAAATCAACAATAAAACTTTCGGAGGCTCGCCGTCTTTGATTGTCATCACCATTGGAATGAAACAGACTTTCATTCATTTTCACACCACACTTTCTAATTTATTGCTGTGTATTGTGCGCTGTATAGACACCAAAACCAAAGCCAAACGCGTGATAAATTACATGAAAAATAAAACTTTTCTTTTTGAATCGAATTGGTTCGACTTTTTTCATTTCATTATTTTGATCCATTTGAAGAAAAAAGACATGGATGCGTGTTTCGTTAACGCTTGACATTGATTTACGGTGGATTCTTTCATTTGAAGGTTGTTTTTTTTCGCGATGGACAATGCAAAATCGGTCAATGTAACGTCTGATTTATTGCCATCTCAAGATCCAATTGAAATCGAATTGAATGCATTATTTTCACAATTCGGAAAAATACGTTCTATAGAATTTCAGCATTTATTTCCAAATTTTATCACATTCCCAGGGCTGATCGCGGGAAACGTGCAGCAAAACCACACTGTGGCATAATTGGTAAATAATAGTAAAAAGTGTAAAAATCTAAAATCATTTGCAAAGTGCTCTGCATTTGTGCGATTGAATGTTCGAACAAAAATAAAGTTTCGGAAGCCGTTGGATTCAACAATGGAATTTCGCATAAAACGCAGAAGAAAAGCCAGGATGGATGAAAATTGTAGAAAAAAGTTTTGAAAAAGCATCACACACCCATAAATTATTCGTTTTTCACATGAAGCAGCATAAATGGGAGCGCACACTCACCACGACCACCATATCGATGCTGGTGGAAAAAAAGCATACACTCAACACAAGTTTTCCCGATTTAAAATAAAGGAACCAAAAAAATACAGCCAGCGCCAATAAATCAAATTCAATTACAAACAAAAATTGAACTAATTTCATATCGAGTGTGCGTCATTGTGATCCATTTCCATTCTATTGAACAGAAGCTTCGTATTTGTTTTCGTACGCTGTGTGTGTGTGTGGGTCTTTTTTCATCTTCCTCTCTTGAATTTGATTTGTCGATTTAAATTCCACCAATTCGAGTGTTCAGTACACCATTGGCAAATGCGTTAAAATGTATTCGAGGTATCCAATGAAATTGTCAGAAAAGCAATTGTTTTCCATTTTCGAATTGTACGACTCGTATTTCACCTCCAGCTCTTCGAGAATCGAGCGATAAATAAATAATAAATGTGCGTAGAATGTGGCTGTCACCAAGTACTTGACTGGAAATAAAAAGTGTCATTCGTCGTCGCAACCGTTGCTATCAATCCACCTGACACACGTAACAATTCGAAATGCGACACGTGAATCGAAAATACGTTTTTCGATGTTTCGTATAGAACATTAAAAGCTTTTCACAGCGTTTAATACCATGGCCTAACCGAGCTCTTGTTTTTGACGCTTTCCTTTTGTGCTTGCGCTAGCAGTATACACACGTTGGATATTATAGCCCATAATAATGTATTTCCATCACGAACAACGACGAATTCAAGAGAGAGAAAAAGATCCGAGATCCATCTAAAAGTGTAACACAACAGCAGAGTGGAGGCTAAACTTTGGGCCAAAGAAAAACGGCACCGATCGAGAAAAAAAAAACTGAACACACACCGTACGATTCTTATATGGGTGTATGGTGCTCCGTATGTGCTGTACATAATTCATGCGCATGAAATATAATTTCGGAAAGAAACGACGACAGGGAGAGAGGAAAAAAATCACCGATGCCGATATAGTTGGCTGAAACATGGTATATACATGGATTTTGTCTATGTATAAAAGCTTTCCACGCTCACACGAACTCAAGCTTGTATGCTGCTGTTAATGCTATTTGTTTCTCGGTCTTTCTGGTTAGTTTTATTCATTTTTTATGCTCCTAATTTTTTTCCTGCGGAAATTTTGCACGTGTGACGCGCGAACACAGCAATGATTTAGTATTCGCTTCTCTCTCTCTCTCTCACTCTCTCGTGATTTTCGCAAATTATAAATGGTTCGCATTTTTTTTTCGTTTTGTTGCTACTGCTACTACCGTTGCTGTTCGCCGGGATGTCTGATTTCTCGAATAGTCATCGGGATGTGTTTTGTGTGAGCGAACGTGCGAAGAATGGGTAGCGCACGTAGTGTTTTATGCATGTAAGAATTGTTGGCACAATTGTACATAGATATTCGTATTTACCGGTTGGGCATGTCCGTTTCAAGCAGTTTCGAACAGTCATTGGAAAACTTTAGCTACTACTAATGCTTTTGCCATTACTTGCTTCGCATAGCTACGCCCTTTCCACTTTCTCTCTCTCTCTCTCTTTCTCTTACTCGGCCCGACGACGATGACGACGATCCACTTTTTTTCCTGCAGCATTTTGTATGGCACTCATTTCGACATTCGTCCATTTTGTCGCACAGAAAAACACGCGAACAGCAAAACACACAAAAAATACTGTGTACAAAAGGTAAAATTAATTTCATTTTACTTTGTCTCATTTTAAATGAGGTACAGGCAAAAAGCATTAAACAATTATTGCCGATAGTTGAGATTCCAGAAAAATATTCCACTTTTTCATGTTAGATAAAATTTACACAAACTTTATTCCATTCCAGTTAATGAATGAATGGATTCAATCCATTAGAGCGAATAAAAATTCGATGAAATTATTTAAATTCTCATTTTCCGTTGACTTTTCAAACTCATTTACTATCAATTATCGGTTTTATGTGCAATGCACATCCCACTCTCTCTTTCTCTTCCTCTCACCGGAACGTGATTGAAGCTTGGAGTTCTTGAAAACCTCTCAACTTCAAAGTTTGTTCGATATTATTTATGTAATATTGAAGTAAGTCATCACAGTCTCTTAGTCAAGTGCGGCACATATATATCCTTCAATCGAGAATCTGTTTCCTATTGCATTCACGTCATCACAACACACAATAAAAGTTTTCTGATTCGCATCAACTTGAAAGTTTATCGTAAAAGTAATGCGTACGCACAGGCATATACACACATTTTCATTCGGTGGTAATTGAATTGAGCCGGAAATTTCAGTTTAAATACACTCTTAAGCAAATGATTATCGCAATTGTGGCAAAATGGTGTGCTGAACGATGAAAATAAAAACTGTATGCGTTAAAATCTCAAGACGACAAAAAAAACACTCTTCGATGGAGATTGCAAAATTTCAAGCGGAACACTATTGATCGTTCCGCGACCAAGAAAATGAAAGTTTTTGGTTTTTCCATTTTGTTGAACAAATTAGCGATGTGAATATTTTATTGCGCATAATTCACCAAGCAACCAGTATGCGTAGCTGGCACTGAGTAAGAGCATTTATTTGCATCGTCATTGTCAAGTTTGGCACTTCAAGCTGTTCGCCTCTTTAGAGCAGATTCACTTCAATTCGCATCATCAATATGGTGAAAATGCATCGATCTTCCAAGTCAAGTTAACTTATTGAATTTATACACTGATTCTACGGCTCATAGACGGCTTTTAGCTCGTATCCGCTGGAAAAAAGTTTTTCATTAATTCCTAAAACACCTTCACCAAGTTTGGTCGACTGAACGGATTTATATTTTATATTTACAAAAAGTTTCTTCTTTCTTTCTCCGTATTTGTGATGGATTCAAAATCTATGATCCATACAGCGTGATAATCGGAGGAATGCCGAAGCATCAGTACTAAAATCGAGAGCATTAATTTATAATTATGCGTTGGAAGAAGACACAAATTCGAGGAAATTCATTTTGCGGGTTTCTCGATGTCGAAGCAACACATTCACAGGGATTCAACCAAACATGACAATCATTAAATTGTAAACTTTTACTGGAAAAAGGTGATTGAACTCACGCCCAAAATCAACAATTGGATCAACGGAACTTTTCTTGTTGTCTTTGCATTTCGGGCGGGCGCAATCAATTGTCTTTTCGAACGCAGTTGAACCAACAACAAAGAAGTAATTGAATTATCGTTGAATTTAATTTCTTTTTTTTTGTCTCTCGCTTTCGCTTGAATTTGATTCGAAAAAGTTTTCGGTTATCTTTTGCTGTCGGTGGTATGAATGCTCGACGAGAATAGATCAAAAACATATGAAATTCTTTGGAAGGAATCGTAAATAGTTTTTCAAAGCTATAAAAACACTTCGAATCCAAATGAAGAGTTTTATCAGGCAATTACCGCCGTCATAAGTTTTGGAAAGGGGCATATTTTGCCGACACTACCAAAGACATGTAAATGAGAGCAAAAGCAAACTTTATATTTTACCAATTTACAGAGCAAATGAATGGCAAAGTGAAGAGCGAAAAACAAAATATACACACAAAAAAGATATTGGCAAAGCCCAAACAACAACATCGACAACAACAAAAAATGAAGTTATTTCATCAGCTTTTGGACGTAGAGAAATGCGCTCACATTCAAACAACATCTTTTCAAATGAAATCACTTCGTTCTCGAGCCACACAAAAGCAAAAGTTTTTGCATTCTCAAAATGCTCATCAAAATATTTCGCTACATTTGAATCAAACGAAATGCGATGAGCTCATTTCATACGGGACAGAATATAATTGTTATAATGGTAGCAAAGAGCGCATTTTTTTCACCAAAAACTCTGACTCTTTTCACTTTGATAAAATGCAACACAATCAATATAGACTATTTTCACTAGGTCGGAATCGGAAGTGATAAATTCCACAGTGACCATGGTTACGTTTATTCGATACACATGAACTGTAATGTGAATTTACAGTTTCTTGAGTAAAAAATGCACTCCATGCAAAATTAGTGCGAAACATTTACATTAAAAAAATGATTTCATCAATTTGAGGAATACATTTTTTTCTAAAGCAACGAACAAAGAGAACTGCCAGCAAATTTATATACACCATTATGCTTTCTCCCGTGTTTAATATTGGATTATTTCATTAAACAAAAACAAAAAATACAACAATTCTAACAAGTTGATTCATAAATTGTTCGTTCGTCTTTCTTTCAGACCCATTCCATTAGTGTGCGAATTACAATAACATTTGTAAGTGCTTTTAAACCAAAAATGCTTGGACAAAATGAAGACGACCAGCAGTTTTATGATGATAAGAAAATCCCATGTAAATAAGAGCTAACTCATTAGTTTTCATTGAATAATAATTTAAAATACAGGAAATACTCGTTCAATTGAGTTCATTCATTATTGTTAAGATGTGTCTGATTGTAAGTCAAAAATAAAAATGTTTTACGTCGCAAAATCTATTCAAATGTTTCATTTTCACTGTCTGCTAGTTGCTTAGCTGAACATTTTGTTTCGGCAGGTGATTTAACGAAAGAGATTGCCAAAACTATGATAGGTTTTTTTTGTCATCTTTACAAAGCTCAGGTTTGCCTTTTTATCGAAGCAAGTATGAAAGCAAGTTTGAAAGCAAGTTTGAAAATACAAAACAAGCGCCACGAGAGGTTTGGAGATCTGATATCTTTGAACTGCCTTAAAATGCTTTTCTTCAACGAAAAACAGCTTCTCCCTTTCAAACTTATACAGTTCCCTCTATATCAAATAATTTTCACACATCCCTCAAACGAATTTTAGCGCTCTCTATGGAAAAGTGTACGATACTACCCCACTAAGCTCCGAAAAATTCTTACAGCGAGTGAGGGTGGTTTTTAGTTAACCGTGGCGTTGGTAAACGTGGCAGCGGTTGCGTCGTCGTTGCGCAGCGCGGTGGTTTGTTGATACAGGAATGTGCAATGAAACTGGTGAGGTTGCGTAACCATTTCCAAGTGCATGTTGCGTTCATCATTTCATTATCCCAGTATGTGACAATCGGTGTTGCGAAACAAAAACAACTGGAATGGCAGCAGCAGCAGCCGCGTTCGGTAAAAAATTTCATGAAGCACTCAGCTGTGAGGGATGCGCACTAGATGCCTTGCTTTTGATTCAGATACGGTGACTGTGTGTTGTTGGCTCTTGATTTTTATGTTCTCGCAGAGACGCACACACTGGCACACACATTGAAGCAGGAAAAAAACATTGTTCGTCTTGTGCCATGTTGAACACGCATACTTTGTTACCGCCGCCGCAATAGCATGGAAAACTGTCTGATTCGAGTCGAATTGCAAGCATGTGTTTGTGTGGAAAAGAGTGAGGAAATTGGAAAGAGCGACCAAACTCAATGCGATAAGATACATTTTTCATGTGAGCCACATATTTATTAGAGTGGCACAGATTTGAGTGTGTATTTTTTTTTGTCTCAGCTGCTTTGCTTAAGCGAAGTGTTCGATTTTGGTTGTCTTTCTCTTTCCATTCGCAAGCAGCGCACTGTCGACGTATTCGATTTGCGTTGAATGGTTCTTCCATGCATCCATCCCGAAAAGCAGACAAATTTCATCGCTGATTTTTCGCACAGTAACATTTCCACAAAATCATCTACTATTTCATAGATGCGAATTTCATGGTGCTGAGACTGACTGTCAACCAAGTATCGAGTGTGCATGTGATGTGTTTGTTGTCGGTCGGTCGGTTGCTATTCGGTGTCGCTGTGTTTGTGCACATCAATTTTGGATTGCTTATGCGTTTCACCTTTTTGTATGTAAACTAACGGCCGCAGCAGGCAGGCAGGCACGAGCGGCTGTTCGTGTGTAGCAATTTTCGAGAGTAAGAGATGCACTGGTGTGCGTGAGATTTATTCTATTTGCTTCTTTTGCAGTGTGGAAATTTTCAAGTGTGCTTATTACGAATTGAACACGAAATAGTTATTTCAATGGTTTACTAACACCGGCGTTGTTTCAAACCATACTCTATAACAAATCTTGAAATTTAACAAAAAAAAAAACAATCTTAAAATTCACTGCCAGATATTGTGAGTTTATCAACGATTTTCGTAAATTTTTTTAAACACGTACGCCATCGAAGGCCTTTAAAATCCAATTCGATAATCAAAACAAAATAATAGTCAGAGTGTTTAAAATCTGATGCTCGTTCGCTTAAATCAATAAAATATTTGTCATAAATCAAGATAAAGTCGTAAATCTGTCATAAAAGTTCAAATGCAAGCAGTTTAATAAGCGACAGTAATTTTCGATATGCAGTTGCGTTTTGTTGAATGGAAATCTAGGATTGAGTTCGTTGCACCGTACTGTTGTTGTCGTTGTTGTTGTTGTTGGACAAGCGAATAAGACTTGTGTAGTTGTCTTGGGAATTTGATAAGCAAATCTAATTTAGGTATGGTGATAGCAGCAGATGCTCTACCGTTAAAACCGACCCCGAAACAGACGGATTAGTGACGGGCAAAAAAAAACAGTGTATTTCAAGCATTGCTGGCCAATTTGCCTACATTTTGTGAATCCTCATCATTTTCGACTTGATTTTCCACATTTGCATCCATCATGTTTGCCGTTGTTGTTGTAATTTTTATGGTTTGTGTGTGTTATCACCATCCTATTAATACGTGAGCTCGATTGAACGAGTGAGAGTGTTGAGCAAGAGATGCTTTATGTCGTATACACACAGGAGTCGTACGGTGAGGGAGTGTGTGAGGGCGTTGGTGTGTGCGACTGTTATATGGATGTCGATGGCTTTTTTATATGCAATTCATTCACATGGCTATGTAATGTTCGTTTCTTGTGCTCAGCGGCTCTCTTTCTCTCTCTCTCACTTGTCGTGTGTCTCCGATTTCATGTCGTTGCGAATGAAAGTTGGCTTTATTCCATCCTTGTTTTGTTTGTTTGTTTCTCTTTTCATCTTTTATGGCCTAGTCGCTTGTCGGTGTCGTTGTGGCAGGCGAACGAGAATGTGAAAGAGAGCGATAGCGAGAGAAGAGCGAACAGCCGAACAAAGTAGCGACGGCGGATGGCGTTTATGTCCTATTTTTATTGTGCCAGCATTAGCTTGAGACACTGAACGACACTTTAATTTTGAAAGAATGTGTGTGAAAATTAAGACATCACACAGCGAAAGCGTTGCCTGTGCTTTTTACAGTGGCAATGTTGTTAATCGTTGCGGTCTTGAAAAGCCATTTTTCTCACTTCCTTAGATCAAACGGTTGATTGTAATTAACTAAAGCTCGTAAAAAAAATGTCGTACATAAAATCAATGCTTGTGTGTTTAATGATTTTATTGCCGAATCGTATTTCATGGATCTGGAGCATGGCAGCCGAAACACATGAATCGTCCATACACAAACGAGGTAAGTGATTTTAATTAGCGTCATCCGTCGATTTATATTTATATTTATTACTAGTTTTTTTTGGGTTGAGCACGGTATCACATATCATCTTTTCAATTTTGTGTCATGGAAACGTTACTCGCTCCACAAAAATTTGCCAAACATCAAGATCTAATGACAAAACAACTGTGTAAAACGATACTCACAACACGTAAATAATTGTGGGTAAACACAATACGAGCGAGTGTTATTTTTTGTCGTTCGATGTTCGTCGAGCATTTTTCAGGGATAATGACTACCGATAATGATGTTGTCGACGATCACAAGAGGCTTATTTTATTTCACTTTATTTTTGTTTGGATTAACCCAGGCATATCACAACAAAATCCTAATAACCGTTCAATCACTCTCGCTCCGCTGTTCATCATGTTTACTGAATTATATCAAAATTACGTAAATAGATTTCATGTACAATGTACGCTCTCCTCTAGCTGCCATCCTACCGGCCTTGCTTGCCAACTTCAATATTTCTTTCGCAGTCAAGAATACATTCACGTTTAGTCCATTAATATCGACATACTTAATATATGCGATGTGTGTAGTCGTTGTTTGGTGTTATGTTTGTTATCTTTCATTCTTTCTTTCTCTCTCTCTCTGTGTGTTTCTGCCTCTATGTCTTTGTTTTGGGCACACACACACACAGAAAAGCCAAAAGCGAATGGTTGGCGTTCAATGGCTCTGGTGCTATCGTTCATCTGCCTGCCAATCCACGTCAATCTTTAATGTAGTCTGTGGCAATGTCTACATGCTTAGACATGAAAATCGATGAGAAATAGTGGATATATGCATGCAAGAGGGAGAAAGAAAGAGAGAGAGACCAAGGCGACCGAAAACTCCATTATGCTTTTGTTGAGTGACTTGCTTTCATTTCATATTCATCGGTCTAAAAATGGCTTTGTTCGCGATACATCACACTACATGTGCCAATCAATCCCAATTTTCAGTGGTGAAAGTGCACACTTCCAATTCAATCTCTTTCTCCGTTTCTTGTTCTCACTTCGCAACAGATCCGACGTCTTTGCGCCAAATAAGTCGTTCGACGGCTGAAACCGCAGATTCAGTGACACGATTCGCTACGGTAGAAACTTGAGCACAGCCAAATCGATTCAACAAAAACTTAAAGAAATGTTCATCAGATCTTTTTTCCTCATCTCTTTTCATAAATTACAAGATTATATAATTTTTTCATTTGGGAGAGAAAAGTTTGGGCAGTTAAACCATTTTTAACTGTCATAATTTTGAGGTGGAAATCGACCAATTTTATTACTTCAGAAAACTGAACCATTTTCTTAGCTGGTTTTCACCACAAAAAATATAGTCGTTCTTTTTTCTCTTTGCCGTATGAATGGTCTCCCATTCATCCCATAATTTTCAGTGTTCCGCTAAATTTATCTTCATTTCCGGGGTGGAATTCTAAGTCATTCCACCAAAATCGTTCGGAATTATTTTTTTCGTATATAAGCCATATTGGAGTGAAAGAGAGAGATTCCACTATTTTTCAGCATTCCACCGGAATTATTCCGATAACTCAAGGAAGAGTGGAATGTGTGAGAAATAATTCCGGTGGAACGCTGAAAAATAGTGGAATCTCTCTCTTTCACTCCAATATGGTCTTATGTACGAAAAAAATAATTCCGAATGATTTTGGTGGAATGACTTAGAATTCCAGCCCCGTTAAACATGCAGCTGCTCGGTTTGTTATTGCGTCCAGCGCATCATATCTCTGCTTACCGCTTCTCAACTGGCATTTTTCAATTCGTGCAACGGTGCAGTAACAAAAATGTTTCGAGCATTAACACACACACAGACATACACACACAAAACAACTATTTCCATAAATGTATGTTGAAAACTATTAAACCATGGAATTTCGCGGATTTTCCCATTTTATCCATTCGTTGATGTTAAAATTTATTTACTCTCTTTCTCTCGTTCGTTCGTTTCGTGAGTCTAAGTTTTTTTTTTCGTGTTCAGTAATCGAGTCAAGCTGCATCTTTCTCTCACTCGCTTAGTGCGCCGAAA